GGCAGCGTTCGACATCTGTCTCTCTCCTACTTGAGTGAGCGATGCGTCCGCGTGGACAGCTGCTATACAATAATACATTTCCATTTACCTCCTTCTCTATATCCATACAAAATATCTATCAAACAAATAAAATTAAAATTTTCTTTTGAAAAATGAAACCATTCCATCAGTATTTTCTTATGACATTGTCACGTTCAACTATCGTCAGTAAACCGACTTTACAGACAACCGATTTTTTTGATATCCAGGAAGTTAGATAACTCAGAATGAAAGGAGCAGTAGAGATATAAAACAGAGGATATTGCAGGGCTGAGTTTGCTTTAGTAAAAAGAAGTCACTTATATGCCTTCGAACGATTAATTAAGAGATTCGAAAAACACTGTTGAAGGTGTATGTCTGGAACACAGCGCTGTATGGTTGCGAAATGTGAACGGTGAATAATCTAGGAGAATGACGAAGATGTTGTGGATAGATAAGGTTAGAAATAAGGAGGAATTAGAAAGAGTAGGAGAACAAAGGACTCTATGGAACTCAATAAAAAATAATCAAGATAGGTTGGTAGGACACCTTCTCAGCTATGAAGGGCTAGTTAGAGAAATATTAGTAGCAGAAACAGGAACGAAGAGGAGAGGTAGATCTAGATGCTCAGAAATGGTTAAAGTTGTGAGATATGTTATACCTACTTTTAGGGAAAAACTAAGATTAACTCAGGGTAGGACGAAAACAACGTTTTGATGACGATGAATCAATTAATCTGCCCAGCTCTAATTGAATGTAATTGAAGAACGCTGTTTTTTGAAAATAATTTTTTTTTTCAATTGCTAATGGTAGTTTTTTTCATATTTTTTCGCAGTTATGTATGCATATATATATTTTGTTAATTTTATTCTAAAATCTGGAAGTCATTCTTAAGAAAGTGTAACATACTCATTCCTATAGATCCTGCTGCAATAGCAGCTTACATGATGTGGTGATGTACATGTTGTAAACAAAACTGCGGGTTTTCACAATTTTCTCACATACTATTGTAAGTAGTACGCAGCATATGCGAGACATAATATCTGATCACGACCTTCCCACACACACAAAAT